TATATATATATATATATATATGAAATACGTAATATTTTAAATTGAGAACATCTGGATATAAACACGAAAGAGTTGAATAAACTACCGCAAAAAAAAAAAAAAAAAAAAAAAAAAAAGATTTACATGCATACTACTCACCAATTTCTATTTAATTACATATCAAACACTTGGATTTCAATTTTTACATATTTGTCATGTTATATATACATGAAAGTTATATTTCATTTAAAAAAAATTAAAGGTGATAATTTTTATGAGCTATAAAAGATTTTGTTGGTATTAATATAAAAATCAACATTTACTGCTAGATAAAGAAGAGAAAGGCTGAGAAAATTAATCGCCTCAAAAACTTATAATCGTGAAATATATTTATGAGAACAGACCAATGCGCATACTGGGCTTGACGCACGTCGGGCTTTGACTATGTCAAATCGTGCTCGGGTCGGGGCGAGCTGGCAAAATTTTATTTTTTTCATAACCAAACGCATCAATTCTAAGCGGGCTTATTACAAGCCCGTCGGGCCGCCGGCCTAATGCCCAAATCTAGGGGGAGGAGACGTGACCTCGGCGAGATCGCTCTAGGGCGACCCAAGAAAGCACGATCGCTGGCCAATCCCACGTATCAGGAAGGCACGCATCTCAGACAGATGAGGAGTACATCATTCTTGAAGAACCCATCTAACCAGGTCAGTCCCACGTAATAGGATGGCAAATTTACAGTTCTTTGTTGTGTTATCGCTCCCCCTCTCTCTCTCTCATTTCTCAGTGCTATATCCCTTAGGCAGGTCTCCCGGACATATTCGATTTAACCAAACCACATTAAACAACCACTATGTTAACTTTTAGAAGGATAAATACATCGTTTCATCCATACGTGATGTGGCATATATACAAGAAAAATATGTAAATACATAGGAATTGAATGGTATGCATGTAACTCCTCCAAATATCACGTTAATATGGTAATAATTTCAAGCCACAAAATTATTCCGAATTACTTGTGAATTTATTACATCCCAAGCTTGGCTCGTTTGATGGCATGTTAATTTGAATTTGATGAGACTAGTTAATAAGCGAGCATTTAGTTTAAAAATATTTGATAGACAATATATTTAAACAATAATGAAATCAAAGATTTAAACACAAAATTGTTGAAGGCATTTAAAAATTGGGAAATTTACTTTCTTAGCACATAATTCTCATGTAATTATATTTCTCACACCTATAATTTCATATTTACATGCATAGGATTTTGGAGCTTCTAACCTATGAATTAAAAGGCGCATTTAACTTTTTAAAATAATAAAAATGCTATTTTTTTATTTGATATTAAAGATTTGAGTGCTAGTTGTGCAAATATAAAAATTTAGATTTGAGAAATGTAAATACACCATATATGTAAATGCCCCTTATAAATGGTATCTTACATATTTATATTACATGATTTGATATTATTTATTCTCTAATTTTTCATCTTATTTTGTTAATTTATAGCAACAACTAAGCTAGTCAAGCTAAGTTGATCTCACATAATAGAGTTGTGCTCAAATAATTAATCAAGGTCAAGCTTATGCCAAGGATGGCTCGAGCTCAGACCAGTCTGTTTGCAATCTTAATGAAGCCGATTTACCGACTCCATCTCGAATTGTGGTCCAGCAATAAAACAGCATCCATTTTGAAGCCCACCAAAACTTGAAAAACTCTCATGTTTTTTCATGTTATAGGGGACTTCGATAAGCCAACTCTGTGGGCTAATATGTAACTTTGCTATCTAGCTCTTTCTGATCGGTTCAATGTTGGATCATGATACTCAAGATATTGTTAACATATTGAAGAATAAATTAAGTTTGTTTTATAAAAATTAAGTGATATTCGGTAATATTTGATTACATCTATATATGATTCATGTATATTTATTTTGACTCAGATTTGAGAGAAAATATTATGTCCTGACACCCGTATGTGTCTACGATGATTCGACCACGCCACTGTGTGCAGAGTGGTGTGATTGAATCCACGCCGTTGTCCGCACATCCGAACAACTGATGTCATATTTTTCATAAGAGGTGATGAATGGAGAAGCTAAAATTCAGTTAAATTTCTACAAGCTTTAAATACGTTAAAAATCAAGTAAAAATATAATTTTTTAAATAATTCAAATTCTACATTCAACCAAATAAAACAACTAATTTTAAAAATAGTACTGATCAAACCGGCCTAAAATTATTATCACTATTACGCACTTAAAAATCAGTTAACACCATACTAATACAATTATTATTTATTTACATATCTAACACCTAAACTTTCATATTTACATACATACCACCTTCCTTGTATATGAAAAGATGTACTTCACTTTTCAAAAGTCAAATGGTGGCACTTTTTAAAAGGAGTTTGATATGTAAATATATAGGAATTGGGCGGCATGTGTGTAAATGCCGAGGGATTATCTACGGTGCGTGCGGACACCGCCGGTGTCCGATCCTGGTCGTAGATCACGGTGATCTACGGTCACTACGGTCAGGATTATTTTTATTTTTTTTAAAAAAAATTTAAATGGGGCCCACCGAAATATATCGGGACCGTAGATCAGGTGATCTACGGATTTAGATGGGGCTCACCGAAATATATCGGGACCGTAGTCCGGATCGGACACCGCAGGCAAGCTGCGTGCGGTGACCGATCCGTATGGAATAATTTTTCGTAAATGCCCCCATTAAACAATTAATCTTCAAAAATCGTGCAAATCAAAGCACCCCAAAGTTGATATCTAAATAAATCTTGATTAATTGATATCTTTAATTTCTCCGCAAGCTTAGTTCTGAGATTCCTTGACTTTTATTTGTATGAACATAAATAGGCGCCGTCGTCCCACGTGAGGCTTATTTTTCTTTGCTGAACCCCATCTACAGTTAGGTCAACATGCAGCGTGTGGATGCCGTCACCAACCGGTGGACGGAAGATCTGTCAGCAACGGGTTCTCCATGTGTGCGCCGTACGCGTCGGTGGAATTTGGACGTGGACTCCGATGGCTGTGATTCATGTCAAAAATTAAATCTTTATGTGGAGAAAAATTTGACATGTAAGACTTATGCAACACTGCATACATAATAAAAGTTATATTTACGTTATATTTGTGTTATATTGTCTGTAACAGTGATGTAACCTCCATATAATCTACCCATAACCTATCTGAACTTACAAATAAGTTTATCGCTTCTATTTTCACATATCTGTAGGTTACATGGAAGTTATCTGTATGTTACATGTAGGTTCACGTAAGATGTATGCAGCGCTGCGTACATAATGGAGGTTATATTCACGACATTTCAATATTATATTCGCGTTATATCTCCTGTAACCTCCATGTAACTTCAATGTAACCTATAGATATGTGAAAACAGAAGCGCTAAACTTATTTGTAAGTTCATGTACGTTACATGCCTTCACAAAATTACAACAGCTCGTTCTAACCGATTCAAAATGAGTCTAGCTCGTGCTTGATTCATTTGCTAAGCAAAACAAGCTGAACATGAAAAAATTATTTACACTTCATGTATCAATGAGTTGAACACAAATATAATTTTGCTCCCACTGGACTCATTTTAACTCAAAATAATTAAATTTTAATTCTACAAATCAGTATTAAATTATATTGCTACAAACTTGTAAATTCATCAAAAATAAAAACGACGCAGAAGATTCCATCGCAAATGAGCGAAATGAGGAATGGCAGCAACAGCAGCCACGTGGCAGATTCAGGAATTATAGGAGGATCAGCCACGTGTTAAAAGTCATCATTTGTAAATTTTTATTTTTCCTGTTTCAAAAAAATTTGCCGCCTATATATATCATCCATCCCCTTCCCACCACCAACTTACCTCCAACAAGAGAAATCAACGAATCATGATCCCAACCCTCCTCCTCTCCCTCCTCCTCTCCCTCCTCTCCCCCTCCTCCGCCGATGATTTCTGCGTCGCTGATCTCTCCCTTCCCACCACTCCCGCAGGCTACTCCTGCAAGAAACTATCCACCGTCACCGCCGACGACTTCGTCTACTCCGGCCTCCGTTTTCCCGGAAATCTTACAGATCCCTTGTTCCATTTCTCAGTGAACCCCGGCTCCTCCTCCCAGATTCCCGGTCTCAACGGCCTCGGCATCTCCATCGCCCGCATCGACATCGCTAAAGACGGCGCCGTCCCTCTCCACTCTCACCCCGACGCCAGCGAGATCTACATAGTCACACGGGGCACCGTGATTGCTGGTTTCATCTCCTCCAATACTGTCTACTCTAAAAGCCTATTTAAGGGAGATGTGATTGTGTTTCCTCAAGGCCTACTTCACTTCCAGGTCGTCATAAAACAGTTGGTTATTATTTGCTTTGGTGAAATGCGTCAGTCATAATTTACTGTTAAAAAGGAATATCTCCTATTATTATATTGTCGGAAGTAACTTATCACATAAACCGTCACAAAACTGAACTAATTAGGTACGTACGTATATTTTGATATGCAGGTAGAGGCGGGCCACGAGCCGGCGCTGGGAATTTCTGCATTTAGTAGTTCGAACCCGGGACTGCAGTTTACGAGCCGTTCGATTTTTGGGAACTCTTTGCCGTCGAAGTTAGTGGAGAAGGTGACTTTACTCGATGATGGGGAGGTGAGGAAGCTGAAGAGGGTGTTTGGGGGGAGTGGATGAGGGCTAGTACGCTAGCCGGAACTGTGGAGTTGATCTTGAATAATGAGCTGTTTGATGCTGAGTTCAGTTCACGTAATAACTTCTCTATGTTTTGTGTAATAAGCTGGTTTATGTTTGACATTTCTCGGCATTAAGAGATGATCCATTTTACTGAAATAAAAAGAATAAAGTGTTGATGGAAAAAATATATAAATTTATGTTGAAGCTTTTTTATTTTCTCTGAGAATTGCTCGTGAGCAATCATGTTTCAACTTTGAAAGACATGTTATTTACGAAAGTGATACTTTTTTAGGCAAAAAGCAACACATTCATCACTATTTTATAATTAGGGTTTTAAATGAATAATGCACTTGATAAATAATTCGAAGTAGATTAGATTAATATTCGATGAGGTTTGTTCAATTTAGTAAACAAATAAATTTAGATATATATTTTTAACTTGAAAGCTCATGAATCAAATTTGAACACAGTCCACGTCATTTATTAATGTTTATAAAGAAATTTGTTTATAGGTCAAAAATTAACTCATTAAATACTATGTACTTATATAACAACAACAACAACAACAAAAAGAACAATAACAACAACAAACCCTTATCCCACTAAGTGGGTCCGACTACATGAATCATTTTTGTCCATTGTGATGTCAATTTTCATTTAATTATAACATATTATAATCATTTTTATACAATATATCCAATTCTTTCTAGGTTTACCTATGCCTTTCTTAACACAAGTCGAAGTTAAAACATCTACACTCCTAATCTGATCATCAGATGGTCAACGTTTAATGTGAGCAAATCATATAAGATGAATCTCTCTTTTTTTTGTCCACCACTGGAGCTACACCAACCCTATCACGGAAATATTCATTTCACATTTTATCTTTAAGTTAAAGCCACTCATCCACCTAATCATTATCATCGCGGCAACACTTAACTTAGTTTTATGCTTCTCTTTTAAAGGCCAACATTCAACGCCTTAGAGCCTTGAAGTTCTCACCACCTTCTTATATATTTTTTTCTTTCAGTCTAAGAAGTAATTTTCTATCACACAATAGGCTCGAAGCATTCCTCTACTTCAAACAACCAACTTGAATTCAACTAATAACATATTATTTAAATAAAATATGACTAATTAAAGCTTATTTAATTATATCTATGTTGTGTATCGTAGAATTCACCACGATTGAGTGATATATTTATGTTATAGTATTATACAATAATCCAACACACACAATGATAAAAGAAGAGCTTATAATAGGGCACCAGAGGTCTTTATGCTAAAAAACCAGAAAGGAAAAAATTTCACTAGATCTAACCCAATTAAAATTAATCTAGTATTCATATGTATGTTACAAGGTTTTGCCTGCCCTAGAAAAATATAAAAGGGTATTAAGATAGTGGAAGAAATTGACTTGACTTTCATTAGATGGTGTTAGAAAATTTGGGAAGTGACAATGCCACGACTACAAATAATGGAAGACTAATGATAGGAGATGTGTTATGGTGATCTTGAAAAGTTGTCACTGATGGTGGTGGACATTAGGCAACAATGATCCATCAACATTAGTAGTGATGTCCAAGCGACTGTGATTTGATGATGGCAATTTGAAAATGGCAGTGTAATGTGACGGTTGCAGTGCCTGAGTAGTGGTGATCCAGTGATAGTGGTGGTGTCGGTCAAACGATGGTGGTCTGACGAAGATGATTTGGTGCAATGGCGGTGGTGGCTAGGAGATAATGATCCCGTGACAGTGATGGTGAACCAGAATAGTGGCGGTTGTAGTGCATCAATCATTTGGCATAATTATAGTCAAGAGATGATGGTTCAATGATAACAAAGTATACCACAACGACTTGGCTTTTAGACATCAGTGAACCAACATAGCGGCAGACTGAAGATGATGAACGGGCTATCAATCATCGGTGATCCGGCCTAGCATCAACCATGGGATGATGATCCGATGATGATGGTAGTGTTTCGATGATGCCAACCTAGTTGTTGTGATGGTGACCCAATGATAGTGGTTTGACAATCGCAATGGTGGCTTAATATCAGTCGGATAATGATAGTCCGTGGTCTAGCAATGGTGGCCAGATAGCGGTGGTAACATGGTGTCGACCAAGTGTCGGTGATCTAATGAAGAGGACAGCTCGATGACGGTGGTTTGGCATGGCGGTGCTAGCCCGACAATGGTGGCCTGACATTGGCAATGGCAAGACATTGATCGAGTGTCGGTGGTCCAGTGGCGATCATAATATGATGGTTAATTTTTAAAAACTTATCAAAATAACTCAATGTATTCATAAATTATAAATCAATATAACCAAAATCTGGTAGAAAGTGAGCATCTAAAATCTCTTGAGCAAACATTTCTACTTTTAAGGGTGAACATACAAAATCTCTCGAGCAATTAAAATCAAGGATTATCAATATTGCGTACAGTTTACTAGTTGAAATTGCTAAATACTAAATTATATCATGAAATGTTCCACAAGGTCACCAAAAAGCCAGCACAAAACTTTCCATGGAGCAGTCATATCATTTCAATTCCATAAATTCTTTTTTTTTTTTTTTAATCAATTGTAAGGGTTCATGCTTTTCTTCTTTCCTTTGCGATCGAGCGAAGAGGAGTCATTACGGAGTCCTTCGAGAGTAAATTAAATGTTTCAGAGCCTTTAGCTGTAAATTGCACAATTTAAGGTCCTTCATATATAAAACACCCTAAATTTTAAGTGTTTAGATATATAAATATATAGGACTTTCAAGTATATGTTTAAACTTTTTTTTTTTTTTTTCTAATTTGAAATTGTGGGAGTCGTTAACTTGTCTGATTATCCAAATAGTTCACAATTTTGGTCTTTTTCATAAGGTTAAAGTTGATTGGGATGTGGGTGTGGAAAATAAACCCAAAAAAAAGCTATTGAGCTGCATAGTTCTGTAGTATCAATTCACCAAGCAGAAAGTACGTTAGGTCTTCGCATTCAGGGCGGCACAAATGATGAAATATTTGAGTTAGAGGATACCATGGGAATTTTTGAAATGGTTGCTCATGGTTTGGATGAGAATGATGAAGAGAGTGGAGAATAAATTTTAGGTTTATCTTCGACGGCGAGTTCTTTGGAAGAAACTTAATAATATAAGTTTGCAAATTTTAGATAAATTGCTACTACGACATACTTTTTGTCTTTTACTTTTATTGTTTCGAGACACAACTCTTTACTCTCTTTTTTCATGTTTTTAGACATAGTTGCTACTTGTATTTTACCTTTGTTGTACTGTTTTTTCTTGCTTATGATTGTTTTTTCGGTCAGTAATAATCTTTTTAATGTCATTCCTTTGTTTGCAAATGGTCACGGGTGGTGGTGGTGGTCATCTACCTCATAGAACTTGTGTTCTATGGATTCTTGAGACAACCTGTAACAGTAGAAAAAAGAGGTCGTCTGTTTTCAATGTTTCCACTACTGCTACACATCCTCTTTCACTACCTCCCTCACCTGTTATTGCTACACCTCCGATGACACCTCCTCCCCCACCAGTTGCTACTACACCTCTCGCAACACCTCCTCCTGCACCAGTTGCTGCCACCCCTCTTGTGGCACCTGCTCCCGCACACAATGCTGCCCCATCTTTTTTGACATTTTCTTCTTCCATACATACTCCCCCACGTGCCACTAGTACAACTCTTGAGTCAGGATTGTCGACTCCTGCACTCCATGTTTGACTTTTTTTTACGTTGCTGCCACCCCTCTTGTGGCACCTGCTCCAGCACACAATGCTGCCCCATCTTTTTTGACGTTTTCTTCTTCCATACATACTCCCCCAAGTGCCACTAGTACAACTCTTGAGTCAGGCCTGTCGACTCCTGCACTCCATGTTTGACTTTTTTTTATTAATTTTTATCTAATACACAATTTTTTTTTTTTTTATGTTGCAGAGGTCCTTCACTTGGCTCCTAGAGCACCAACACCAGATATGTCGAATCTTTGAGTTTGGCCCTTGCCGTCACGTTCATGACACCCCGCTGGAGGGGCGCAACCTGCCTAGATTGGTGAGGGGCTCTAGGGCCAGTTGACCGCAGCTTGGGTCTCTCTTGATTATAAGAAATGGAGGTCGACGAGCCGAATGAACTGAGCGATAGAGCGGGCCAAAGAAGTTGCGCTCCATCTTGGTGGATCAGTCTTCCATACGGAGCACTACAAAAGGGTGGAAAGATTTTTTAAGATATTTAAATATTAATTCAATTTTTGGAGTTATTTTTTTAGAGTTAACCATTTTGTAGGCTGCACAGGCCAAGGAGTTGAGTCGTGCATCCTCCGTTGCGAAGCTGGATGTCCGAACTCATCGGCACCTAGGGAATGTGCAGTGGAACTCAGAGCATTCCCGATTGGTTGCAGTAAGTTAAAAACTTTAAATTAAAATTTTATTTTAACTCTAACTGTTGAACATGTCAATTAAATGCTGGTTTTCATCATGCACGAGGAATTCAAGTACCTCTGGGAGAGGCATTTGGCCACTTAAGCCCAGACTGACGTTAGCAACAATGGTACTCAGTCTACCACAATGCATTCGGAGTACGGGCTTTGGACTCAGGCAACAAGGAGGAAGAAGAGGAGGGTTTATGGCCTTAGAGCGAAAGGCATAGCCTTCAAGGCCGAGCACTCCCGTGATCCAGTGATGATTCTGTTCTAATTTCCTCTACGAATAAATCGATTTTTGAGAGGTGGAGAATATTGATGCTTGACAGGAGATATGGTACCTACCCGATGCCTCGCCCCCTCCCTTTTGTTGCTTGCGATATACCAAAAATCATAGGGCAGTACAAGCAAACGGCCATCAATGTAATAAAAGCAGGTAAGACTATTTATGATTTGAATGAAAAAGGTGTATGCCAGTTTTTAAAAGTTAAAATGCTGATATTTTTTTTATGTGATAGGAAAGATGTGGGTGCTATAAATGTAATAAAATAAAGTTTAGATGTTAGATAAGTAAATAGTTAGGAATTGGATGGCATGTAAGTAAATGCCGCCAATTTTTACTATTTGTATCCTT